GCACAACACGTGTATATGAATATAATATAATTGATGACATACATAGGTATATTATAGGTACCTAGCTGCTATTGGTACTACGTATTTCGTACGTTAYTCAAATTAAATTACACGTTATTAATATCAATGTATTCTGTATCAATTGTATTCCATTGCGTAATCAATATTTCCTTTGAAATTTAAATAAATTCAATTTTTACAAATCGTTTTCTTACGAAATGAAAATGTAGACTCATTGTGTCAAATGTCGATATGTTTTCATTTGAACTGAGTTCATTTTTAGAGGTTCAACGTACTGTACTATAGTGGGTTCATTATTTCTCAACTAAAAAATTTATGATAAAGAAATGTAAGATTACCAGAAAATTTAAATAAAAATGTATCCATGCGCGATGAACTCAAAAAAGTCAAATAGGTATTTTAAATTTAATTAAAATAAAACATCTGTAAAATGTTCAATATTTTATATATTTTGTACGTRAATTATATTTTTTGACCAAAATTTACACGTCCATTACTCATTTTTTTTTTCATTTAACGTTATTGAAATGTAAATATATAAATATAGATAATGAAAAAAGAAAAATATTTTATATCAAATATACATATGTTTGCAACAGTGATAAAGTATATTTAGAACACTTTAATGTACTATTTTCAAAAAAAATATTTAACTACTTAAACAAAGTATTTGGAATACTCGAGTACTTACTTAACAAGACTGCAACAGTGTTGCGTGTCGCACGCATTMYACTCCTTGTTTTTACAACTGACCCTTCATCGGTGATGTAAACACAAAAATACGTATTGTTGCAGAACAACACAACCGCGATGAGCTTGTACGGCGGTGGCAGGAAGCCATGGTCGTCGTCGTCGTCGTGGTCTTATCACGACGACACAGGTATTGGTTATCCATCGACGGTAGACCGTCGCATCGGTGGTACCGGCAGGCAGGCGGCCGCCTTGTTCGGCGGAAGCGGCGGCGGCATGGGCCTCGGAGGCCTAGACTCGCATCATTACCGCAGCAGCGGCGGAGGTAGAACGATGACTGCTGCGAGATCGCTGGGAGGAGTTTATGAYGGTAACAGTCTGTTGTATCGCTGTTCAACCAGTAACGTGTAAGTAGTGTGTCATGCAATATTATAAACTATGCATGTCATTTATATGATTCGGAGCCTGGGATCATAAATTCAACTGTAACGGAAAGAGTCCTGTATAAAATCAAGTTCTATAAACGAAAAATTCTAAAAAATTATTTTCTGTTTTCTAATAGCTACGAATACTTGTAAAATCGAGTTCTRCAAAAGGAGTTTTGAAAATTATTTTAATTATAATTCGTACCTACCCTGTGGAAGTTTAGTGAATGATGAGTAACACATGTTACTTATATATAGTGATAGGCGATAGCTAGGGTTATAAGAATAACAGCTAAACTKGAATTTAGAAAGGTTTTCAGAATTATCATAGTTTAACTACATTTTAATAATTATACAATTTTGAGTAGTAGCAGTTTTAGGAATTGAAATAATACTTTGATTTCTAAAAACAGTATATTTTCTGGTGTAAGAAAGTAAATCTATTTGATGTATTTGGGAGGYCAAAATTTAGAATTTTCAGTAGTTTTAAAATGCATCTAGTAAACAAAAAAAAAATTAATAAAAAATAGGAATTTTTACTCAAAATCAGTTTTCGTAAAATTTGGTTTTGGTTTTTGATGTAACTAAAATTGATTACCGTACATGAAATTTTCACTGAATTTTTATATTTAGCTGTCAAATAATCGTCATTTCGCGCACCTTACCCCATTTGAAAATGGAAATTTTTTTTTTGGATCACATTTGTTGTTAATTTTTTGATYACAATGGGCTGTGAAGTAAATTTTATAGTTCAAATATTTTTAATTTCAATGAAATATAATCTTCAAATGTTTACAAAAAAGTTTTAACTTTAAAAATTGAAAAAATTCATACATTTTTAATAAAAAATAATTTGTAAATCATCACGATTTTTATGACTTTTGATCAAATTATAGAATTATAAAAATATTGGTTTTATGTATTTTAGAAATTGTTAGAATGGCCCATAAAAACTTAAAAACTTGTATTAAATCCTAAGTTTTAGACCAAGCGAAAGAATTAAACCAAAATCGATTTTTATTTTAACACTTTTTTTTTCAAAATTTTTTTAGTTTGTTGGAAATGAAACATTTGAGTATAAGCACTTAATATAAAAGTCTAAACACACGAAACTTATATCGGTAAATGTATTAAAACATTGTTTGATAAATACAATATAAAAATAAACTAAATTAAAAATATAGTTAACAGTTTGACATTGGAAGGTTGTCAGTAGAGTTAGGATGTTG